ACATATTCAACTCCACCCTTGTTAAAGGATAGCATAGATTGGGTTTGAGTTCTGTTCAGAACAGTATAAATAATTCAGACTGTCCCAAAACTGTGTGCGGCTCCATTAGTTCATGAATCAACAGAAATGTGAATATCTTTCGTTCTAAATGCCTGGTATTTCTGCGGGTTCCCTCTTCTCTCCTCTTGCCAATTTACTTCTGAAGCTAATTACTAAAACCAGGCTTGCTACTCCTCAGGGATGAAAACTGCTGGTGTCACTCTGCCTTGGCTCAATTGGCTTTATACACTTGGAACACACTTAAATCCTTGTGGAATGTGGTAGGATAAAAATGCACTATATCGAACAGATGCCTCTACACAGTGAGCCATGTCTCATTTGCTCTATTATTCCTACTTCTCCACAACCCGTTTTGTTCCTGCACTGCATCATTTCAAAAGTTGAAAAACCCAAAGCACTGGGTTTAGAATGAGTGATGTCATCAAAACTAAATCTATTCAAGAATTTTTATTTATTTATTTGGAAAAACTATATCGCTGCCTACTCGGTCGCGGCAACTCAGGGCGGCTTACAGGAAATAAAAACACAATATTAAATAAATAATTTTTTTTAAAAATCACACACACACACACACACACAATGGCAACACACACTCATACCAACCAATTAATGGGCTCCTTCCTGCTCTGGTTTCTCCAGGCCCACTGGAAGAATCACATCTTCAGGGCCTTCCAAAAGAGTGTCAGAGTGAAAGCCAGTTTAATTTCTGGAGGTATGATGCTCCAGAGGGAGGGAGCCACCACAGAGAAGGCCCCTCTTCTGTGTCCCACCAGATATACCTCCTTAGCAAATGGGACTCACAACATTCCTTATTTCCCCATTCTAGTGAGTCAAGTGGATGTGACTAGCAAGAGATGATCCCTTAAATAACCTGGTTCCAAGCCATGAAAGGCTTTAAACATGACAACCAGCACTTTGAATTGCACCCAGAAGCAAATCAGCAACCAATACAGCTTCCACAAGAGAGGTAACACATGTGCACACTGAGATCTGCACAAAACCATGTAGGCCACTGCATTTTGCACCAATTGGAGCTTCCGGATGCTTTTCAAGGCCAGCCCCATACTGAGCGCATTTCAATAGTCAAGACAGGAGATGATTAGGACATGAGTGACTGTGAGTAAGGATTGTTGGTCCAGGAAAGAGCGTAACTGGTGCACAATTGTGCAAAGGCCCTCGTGGCCACAACTGCCACCTGTTTTTGAGCAGAAGCTGCAAGTCCAGGAGAACCCCCAGATTACACATTGGGTCTGTTTGGGACAGTGCCACTACATCTAAGACAAAAAGTGGCAATTCTCCAGGGACCAAAGAACCCCAGACACAGAACCACTCGGTCTTGCCAGAGTTCAATTTCAACCCATTGCTCCCCATCCAGCTCCCAACAGCCTCCAGGCACTGTGAGAGGGAGGTCATGTCATCACTTAACTCACCATAGGCTGATATACAGTTGAGTATCATTAGCATATTTTTTTAAACAATTTTTTATTTTTTTCAGACACACAAACATAAAATACATAATTTCTGAACAGAGTATTGACAGAGTCAAAATTTATACAGCTTTCTCCATATTTACTATATATACTCCAATTTCTGCCAATATTCTACTTTATTTTTTTATAAAATATATAATCAATATTACCATCCGCCCTCACCTCCTTATCTTCACCTATCACAATTTTTTAATCTATTGAAACCCTTTACTTTAAGCACAGTCATTCAAACATTTAATTTTTCACACTTATTTCTTTAGTGTCAATTTTTCCCAAAGATGGACCAAATTTTATCTTATCTTACTACTTTATCCATTATTTGACCCTTTTAAACATATATTTCATTATATTTGTTTTACATCATCTTTATCATTAATCATTTTACCATTTTACCCAAAACAATACAATTCTTCCCATTTACTTTTATAATCCCCTTTTTAAGTACACCTAACTTCCATTTCCAATTCATTCCAACTTTCCCCTTCAAATAATTCCTTTTTTATAATTCAATTTTTACAATCCCAGTATTGATGCAATTTCTTTACACTTTCAGTGTTACAAAATATACTTCATTTTATTCAAATACTGTAATCAATAATACTTCTATCATAATTGTTTATACAGCTGTTATTATACTTGTATATAATTTCCCCTTCTAAATAAAACATTTTATCTCAAATCAGTTATGTTGTCAGTTAAGTTCAATTTAACAATCCCAATATTTTTAATTTTATTCATTTCTATTTCATTTAAATTTCAATATTTTAATCCCTTAAACATATCCACCACCAGAAACAATACAATCCTTCATCTTTGTTTTTATGATTCTTTTTGTATTTCAATTTTTACAATCCCAATAATTTCCCCTTAAATAAATCATTTTATATAATTTTATTCATTTCCATTTCATTTACCAAATCTCCTCTTATTCAAATAATAGTCACAAATATTAATCCTAATTCTATTGTTAATACAATTATTACTTTACATATATTTCATATTACCCTTCCTCCTGTCCATTAATTACAACTTTTAACCCTTTTCTCCTGATCCATCTAATATACCACCCATTTTCTTTTTCTTCTTTTATAGTTATCCTCTCTTTTACTCTCTTCTGTTCTATTCCCCTTTTCTCCTCTTATCTTCCTTGTTACCCCATTGTTAATCCCAATGTAGTCATTCAATTTTTCCCCTCTGAATTTTTTATTTTTAACATTGTTAATCCGGATATAATCATTAAAAAAAATTTCTTGCCTAGATTGCCCTCTATTCTCAGCTGATCTCAGCCCCTTTTTACCTCTCTGCTTCTTTCTGACCTTTCTATTTTTAGCACTGTTAATCTCAGTGTGATCATTGAAACTATTATTCACTCTTTTTTTCATTGCTATTCCCAATGTAATCATTTATTTTTTCATCAGTGTCTTTGTCTTCAATATTATTTTCTTGCTTCTCATTAGTAGCTTGTTCATCCCATGACTATGCTCCAGGAAAATTCTTGATTTTTCTCTGTCCACATCAAATGATAAACGTACCATTTGAACCATTTCAATTAGTTCTTGCCACATTTTGGCGTTCTAGTTACTTTTTAAGTCCAATTTAAAGTTTCTTGTTTTCCACTTCTTATGTTATCAATGTTCAGTTGTTGAAGACAAAACAAATCCTCCTTACAAACTCTCACAGCTCATTCCTCAAGGACGCAGTAGATTTCCCATATTTAAAGTGTTCAATGTAGTACTTTTTTTTTCTGCCAGTAGATGGCTCTCTAGAATCCACAAGTTCCAAATCAACAATTTAGGAAAGTATCCAGTTTTGTATATTGAATCCAATTAACTTTCTTTCTCTTCTAAGTTTTTTTTTATATTTTCCAATTTCCAACTTTACGTTCCAGTTCAAGTTCAATTTAAAATCTTTAACAGGGGTTTTTTTTTTATTGTGGGTTTTTCTTTATTCTTTAATCTTCCTTTAAAGTTCAAAATTTTCCTTACAGTTTATATTCAATCCTATTCCAAAAGTATTTTCTTTTGGTTTTATTTTTCTTATAATAAATTTAGTCTCTCCAAATTCAGTATCCATATTTAAGATTTAAACATCAGACTCTTTTGGGCTTTTTTATTTCCACTTTCTCTCTTCTCTGTCAATTAACTTCCCCTGATGCTATTTAGCTGCTGTTTCCATGCCGGGATAGCTGTAAAAATTTTCAATTTTTTTCTTTGTTACCTGTGAGTTTGCCAATTGCTCACCTGGTACCAATACTCTGTCCAAATCTTCACTCCTGCACAATTCTTATTCTATATGCCCCAGCTTCATGGCGGTCGCAATGGCCGCCACCCCCCGCCATTGGATCGAAGAGTTTTCTCTGACTTTCCAAGGAACTTGCTTGTTCCTCTTTAGCCATCTGAGATGCCTCTCCTTCTTCACCGTCCCTACAGGATGGTTCCGGTCCGAAGACACACCCCCCCCCCAAACAGCGGTTCATTTGGCTGAGTTTTCGCCAGGCTCATTAGAGCCTGGTATTTTTCCAGCCAGTCTCACCATGACGCTTCCGGTCTCTCGAGTATCATTAGCAGATTGATTATGTCTCAATCCATGGTGATGGATTATCTCACTCAGTGGTTTCATGTAAATGTTGAATAAGAGCAGAGAGAGTACCGAGCCTTGTGGGACCCTGCAAAGCAGTGGGCGATGGATGGATCTCTTGTCTCCTACAGTATTAACACAAACTGAGAACAGCCACAGAGGAAAGAAGAGGATAGCACAAAGCTCTCCCACTCCCAATCCCTGAAGTTGCTCCAGAAGGATACCGTGGTTGATAGTATCGAAAGCTGCCGAGAGACCAAGCAGAATTGGCCTGCTCTCGCATGTTGCAATTGCTTATGTAACTATCCCAATTTCTATATCCTTCTCATATACACCTTAGTGAGTACTTAATTTATTTCTTTTTTCCAAACATATTTAGGTAAATTGTACTATATTGTAGAAGATTCTGCTTAGGCGAGTCACATTATTTTGCTTGCGCAAAGAACAATGGTGTATTTTATATTTCTACTTATATTTATGGTTAGAAAAATAGGCATTTTCCTCATCCATGTCATTTTCATAGGCTCTCGTTCTCTTATTTGCTTCTCACTCTTTTCTTTATTAGTCTGCAATTATTTTGAAAACTCCTTTGGAAAGTTATGTATTTAAAATGTGTTAAATTATTTTTAAATTCCACTGTTGTTCCCTAAAGAAAAAAAACATTGTAAAAATTATTAATTAGCAAAGAATTTTCCATAGTACTTGGAGTGTAGAACAACTTTTGGAGGATAACATTCTGGTCTGGGATATTTAGATTATTGCATTTTTCATCAGTATTGGTAAAAATTGTGCTATAAAAGTTTACTGCTTATGTTAATATGTGTTCATTCATCACTGCTGTTGTTGCTGTTGTTGTTGTTTTTTCCTCCTTAGGGATTTATGGATATTGACCTGGGGAAATTCAAAGAAAGTGGAGCAAATGTGACCGGATTCCAATTGGTGAATTACACAGATACCATCCCAGCCAGGATTATGCAACAGTGGAAGAACAATGATGCCAGGGAACAACCTCGAGTGGACTGGAAGAGGCCAAAGGCAAGTGGTACTGAAAACCCATTTGTTTGAGGAGGTGTTAATGCCATTTTCTTGTTCCTTATGTCAGACTAGGGTTTAGAAAACACTGTTTTCTTTTGCTAAACTAAAGAGGAATTTCGAAATGAAGAATCCTCATTTTGAAGCACATAAATAAGCATACACACACATGAATTAGTGTGTGGTAGTAAGTAACCAGTGTGTGGTAAGTAAGTAAGTAAGGTAGTAAACCTTACTACCTTACTAATGTGGTAGTAAGGTTTGACTAGGAGCAGGTTTAAGCAGGTTCTTCCTTAGAAACAGAAACCAGCTGGGTGATTATGGGCCAGTTACTGTCTCTTGGAGTTAAACTGGGAAATAAAAAAAAAAACTCTACTTCCTAACTGGTACTAGAGCAACACTGTAGATTATGGTCTCTAACCTTCAGTGGAGATGCTTTCACCCTAGAGTGGACTCGCTTGAGCAAATAATAAATTGAACCAATCAATCAATAATAAATAATACATACATACATACATACATACATACATACATACATACATACCATACCATAACATAACATAACATAACATAACATAACATAACATAACATAACATAACATAACATAACATATATATACACAACCAATGGTTGGTCACACAGTCAGCCAGATTTTTTATTATTATTCTTACTTCTTGTTGTTGTTGTTGACTGGATTTGGTATTTTTACCCACCCATCAAGTCCTTTCCAAGGACCTGGGATAGGCAGATGTTAATGTTTGACAGTGTTAAAAGTATAGTCACAAGATGTAAGCTGTTCCAAGTAAAGCTGCCTTTTGCAATTGATTGGCGCCGATGATGTTCAAGTGGTGTTCCATATGTTTTTGCATTTCACCTTAGGGACCTATCACTATTTATTAATATAATTATTTCTATTATATTATATTTTCGACGAAGTCTCATTCGTCATCTTCAGGCTGGTGTTCTCAGCTTCGTGCTTCCAGGAGCTCCTGGAAGCACGAAGCCGAGAACACCAGCCTGAAGATGACGAATGAGACTTCGTCGAAACGTCGCCAAGACACTTCCAATTTTACGTGGGAGAAAACCCGAATAACCAAAGACCTACATACAAACACCCGCGAAAACCTGAGAAAACATATATATGTATATATATATTCATATTATTTGTGTTTATATTGTGTCTAAGTAAAATTATGTAGAAAAGGTATCTCAGTCCGTAGGACCTCAAAATGTATGCAAATGAAATTAATAAATTACTTATTTATTATTAAACCTTACCGTATGTGCCCCTCCCTCACCAAAGGCAACAACAAACAGTTGTTTGTTCAAGCAGTACAACAAAATGCAAAAGGATACAGCAATGAGTTCCTCCTTAATAATGGCTTAACATTGCATGGACACTAGCATGTCCATAACCTGCTTAGTTTCTCCAGATGTGCTTAATTTACAGACTATCCAGACGGAATGCCCATATTCTATTGGGGATATTATACTCTTGGGGAATTCTGACAGTCAAAGTGCAAACATATCTATGGGAAATTAAAGAAAATTATCTGCAACTATTTCTATAACATTCAGAGTTAGTGCTCAGAGAGAGAATATATCCTAGTTCTTTTGGGTTGTTCGGAAGCAATATTGCATGTAAGTAGGATTTCAGTCTTTAAGTAACTTACATGGATTAATTAGCATTAGGATAACTAAAGGAAATTTCATGCCTTGTTCTTCTGTTTGGGGGACTCTATACGAAATTATTTAATTAGTGGGGTGCTGAATTATTGCTTTGCTCTGAGTTGAATAAATATATGGCGCTATGGAATCTTTTGAACAAATAATCTTAAAAACAGAGTTCATCCTCGGAACTTTGTGTAGATGTGATAGAAAGATACATACTCTGTTGCTTACCTTCTCATAGATCCTTCATTGTGAAAAACTAAGTTCTTTTTCTCACTTTACTGCGACAATATTTTAAAGATTGGTAAGTTGTATAGTAGACTGAATATAGTAGGGAAAGAGGGAGAGGGAGGGAGGGAAATTATCTGGAGCTTTCATACTAAGGCAAACTAGTTTGTTTTTTTTAAGATAACCTGCACAGCCAGAAACTCACTTTGTCATGATGCAAATCTTGAACAGTTAAAGACAGAGTCCAAGCCTCTAACTTCCTATGTATAATTTTCTAAAGCCTGCAGCAGCAAATATTATAATGCATTGGATCCAGAATTATCCTGTACCCACTTAAATTAGACCCACTGAAATCAAGTTGTCATTATTATTCTGGATATCTTGTATTTTCATCAAACAAAAATGACTCTCAAGGTAGAACAGATTAATTAAAACACGGCTGAAAGCAAAATTAGCATAATAAGTAGGTTGTGCTTTGGACTGTGCAGGAGTGCAAACTACTTAAAGCAGCTGCAGCTTTTCCCAGGAAATTATAATTGTCATCAATATTATTAGGCATAAAAATGTACCTACTGAAGAACATGCAAGTCACCACTCAGCTACATCTAGCAAAATTCTATATGGCTTCTCATGGCTTGTCAATTCCAGCCAAATTGGTATTTTAACTCAGATCCCAAGAGACAGTACGATATAGTGGCTAAGGTGCTGGATTTTGAGCTGGGAGGCTCTAATCTTCTAGACATAGAAGTCAGCTGGATGGCCTTGGGCCAGGCATTCCCTCTTAGTCCAAATCAGTGTCAGGCTCCTGGTTGAGAATTAAAACTCCTTCTTGCCTCATGCACTGACAGCTTGGCTTTGAGAATTGCACCAAACCATGCAAAAAAGTAGTTCCTACAAGTGCTAGGATAAATGCTATGAATAGCAATTACAACTTCAGTTCAAAAACCTGCAAAATAATGCTGCTCTTTATTTTTGAAGCACCCAGTATTACTTAACATAATTATTTTTGTGACACCTTAAGTCAACATTGAAATTAACCAAATAGCAGTTTGGGTGGCTGAATCCTGGAAATTGAAGATTTCCTGGTTCCTGTTTTGGGAGAAGGAACAAGCATTTCCCAAATCAAGCCTAATAGCCAACATGCTTATTTTAATCTATTTTCTAGTACACATCTGCTCTTACGTATGATGGGGTTCGGGTAATGGCAGAAGCTTTTCAGAGTCTCAGAAAACAACGGATCGATATTTCCCGTCGTGGGAATGCCGGGGATTGCTTGGCAAATCCAGCTGTTCCTTGGGGACAAGGGATTGATATCCAGAGAGCTCTACAACAGGTTAGAAAATAAAACAAAATTTAACCCTGGACAGATTATAACATTGTTAGAATATCTGAATTGCTATTCATTATTCATTATTTCATGGTCTGTAAATCCATATCATGTTGTACTATAAACAAGGATGATCACTGAGTATTTGTACTGAAATTGAATTTCTAAAGTAGTCTTGAAAAACCACCTTATTTAGGAAAAGATATCTAACTGTGAACATTTGGGGAGAATGCATTTTCTTTCTAAGTATGGATCTTGAATTCATCAAGCTTGAATTAAAATGTTTCAGCAACCTAAAATAGGATTGCATTAGAGAATTCATTATGCTTTATATTTTTTTTATAAGTGGATGCTAGCTGTGTCAAAGATGCTGAAATAACATTACACAATTCTTCCTTGATTATACTGTATCAGATTGATGATGAGCAGCATGTTTGAATGCTTCCTTTAGATAAAAGCTAGGTTGTTAGAAATAAGTTACATCAACTGCCTTCTCCCTTAATTTACTATTTTCCATTGTACAAGAAAAATATCCTATTAAGATTTTGCATTGAAACAGAGTCTGTATATTATACAATATATGCAATCCATTCAGTACTAGTATTAAGAGAAGTGGGAGTTTAGAACAGGAAAATATGTAAAAGTCACCTTATTGGAGGCACTTAACAATTCAGCGCTAAAATGTTCGGATTCTGAAAATGTTGTGAGAAAAGAAATGTCTATGGACAGAACTGCATAGAACTGGGTTGCTCTTCATGGCAATGGGCCAACAATTTCTGGAGTCAGGAATGGGTGACATTGTCATCTCACCTCCAGCCTACTGCAAACACAATCTTTCCTTGTGTTTTGTTGTTTTTAATTTGAAGGTAGTTTTTTCTTAATTGGGACTCCATCGCTAAGCAAAGTATTTATTAACTGAAACATTGCATGGCTGCCCCACTTAGCAACAGCAGTTCCCGCAGTCCCAGTTGTATTTCTTATACAAATCAAAAAAACTAAGTTAGACATCACATGTCCATGATTTGTGATCTCCTGCCAGCTTCCTGACTTACTTTGTTTGTCATAAACTAAATGGGAAGGTCACAAATGGTGATCATGGAATACTGTGACTATCAAAAATATGCAACAGTTGCAAATAGTGATCATGTGATTGCCGGGATGCAGTGATGGTCTTAAGTGCAAGGATTGGTTGTAAATCACTTTTTTTGGCGCCATTGTAACTTTGAATAGTTGCTAAACAAATTACTGTAAAGTCAGGACTAGGTGTAGTTTATAAATCCTTTATAGTTTAGATGATGGGGATGATGATTTTGTTAGTAAGATAACATCCAGATATGTGAGAAAAATTCTCCATTAATTATCTTTGCCAAGCCAATGGCTAACTTCCATCTATTGTCTTTTGCAGATGAACAGTCCCACATTTAGTATAAGAAGGTCTTAGCTTTCGGCAACCTGTTTGCAAGTGTACTTTGCTTGTCCTTTATCCCCAACTGCTCTGTGTTAACTGAGTGTAATGGAATGCAATCTTGATTCCCAGAAGGGAGGGAGTGCATTCCAGAGGAGCAAGAGACAAAGCAGTTTAGGTAGTTTATGTGAGATAAAGAGGGTGAAGATGGCTCCTCCTAATAGTTCCCAGAGTATATGTGTTATATGGTGCAAGTAGTCTGCTTTAGTTTGGCAAGATTTCTGTCTTTAGATGAGGAACCATAAAGGCATCTGCTTAGAAGAATCCTAATGTGTCTTTCCTGGGTTTTGGAACCTGACAAAAAGTCTGAGCTGGAAAGTTGAAATTACCTGCACGCAAATGAGGTTATGTCCTCAGTGCAGACGACTTGAAAAGAAAACACCTAAAGAAAAAGCTTGATATGTATTGATCCATATATATATCATTTGATCTGATTTAAGAGGTTTGGACAGATACAAAAATTTTGTAACAATTGTCATCTTTTACCTCCTCCCCTCTTTTTATAGGTGCGCTTTGAAGGACTGACAGGAACTGTCCAGTTTAACGAGAAAGGACATCGAACTAATTACACCCTTCATGTTATTGAAATGAAACATGATGGGATCAGAAAGGTAAAGCTGGTTAGCTTGGGAATGGAACTTGTTTCTGAAAACATTGATTCCCTGATGCCACTTTTGTCATGAGCTAAAACATTTGTGTAAATAAGGAATAAAATGGATTTATCTCTGGCACTTATTTTTGTAGTCTAGGATTTGAAACGTTTTTCTCATTAATTTCTGTAGAAGTAAATTTGGGGTCTCTTCAACTTTTAGAAAGCATAATATGCAGATTCTTCACAGGCTGGTTTCTTTTCTTCTCCAACACTTCCTGGAATCACATATCATGAAGTATCAGGAAATTTAGGTGAGAGAAAAAACTGTTTTGTGAAGAGTCAAAGCATATTAAATTTTATTATTGCAATCAGAGATCATCATACTTTGTAAAGGGTGCTTCTGTAAGCAAGTAAGTGTTCCTTGAGATTAAATAAAGTTGAAAAAGATGTCTGAGCCTCTATCAACATTTTTTAAAAGTATGTAATCCCTTCCCAACTTCATCCACTACTCTGGTAGGTATTTCTATAGATTCATCTTTAATCCATAGGAAAAGATTCTGGAATGAAAAACCAAACAATAGAACACAATGGATTTTAAGACTTTTAAACCCATCTCTATTGCTTTTTTAAATTGATAATAGATAGAATAGAATAGAATTTTTTATTGGCCAAGTGTGATTGGACACACAAGAAATTTGTCTTGGTGCATATGCTGTCATAATTATATCCTATTTATTCTTGTGGTATATTTTAATTCTGTAAATCCATAATTCATCTCAATATTATTTTAATATTTAATATGAATTTAAATATAACATTTTCTCTCAAAAAATGTACATTTAAAAAATGTATTAGTCTGTTAAGAACTGTGACTTCACATCCAGAAAATTAAAATGTGATAACTTCTAACTGATACATTAGTCAAAAAATTCAAATCAGAACTTTTCATACAGGTATTAACAATAGATTAATTCCCAGATGATTTCCTATTGCCAGTAAAACTCATCTAATCTCTGAATTAAAAAGATACAGAGTCATTGAAAGCTTAAAATTTTAAGGACAATTCGTGCATGCTGATATGCAAGAGGAGAAGGTGAAAAATATGAATATCATATCTATCTCAAAAATGTTAATATAAAAGATCCATATATGCTTTCATTAATCTAATGATATGCACCTAAATCCACACATCAAGTACTTATGTCTTACAATTTTCTTTTGTCTTCAAGATCTGAAGGTCTTTGTTCAAGGTCTGAACAAAATCAATAATGCCACAAATTTTAAAATGTAAATAAATTTGAGTGTTTGAAAAATAGTGGATTTATTTTGTATAATGTTTACCACAAAGTTTTCTCACAAATATGGAATCTCAGGGCATAGAACATAGAGTTTGGCCAAAGGTGTACAATATTCTGTTGATTATTTCTAGATTGGGTATTGGAACGAAGATGAAAAATTTGTTCCAACTATCACAGATCAGCAAGGTGCAAATGAAACAACAACTCTGCAGAACAGGACCTATATTGTCACAACTATTCTTGTAAGTATTCTGATACTGAGACCTTTATCTCAGTCAATTCCATCCTAATTTTGTGCTTTCTTTCATTTAGAATGGTGTACAATTTCAGAAGCAAAATATTTAAAGCAAAAGCATTTTAAGACTTGCCACATAGTTGAAATTGTCAAGCTTTATACTGTATGATGGGAATGAAACTGAATAGTTCATCAGATATCAATTCAGTACAGTGTTTCTCAAGCTTGGCAGCTTGACTTCAATTCTCAGAATTCCCTAGCCAGTATGGAAGTCAAAGTGATTTACCGTATTTTTCGGAGTATAAGACACACTGAAGTATAAGAGGCAGCTTAGTTTTGGGGGAGGAAAATAGGGGGAAAAATCTGCCTACCATGTATTCATCTGGCTAGCATCCTTAGTCTGGTCAGCTTCAGCACATGAGTTTGCTGCTTTTTTTATCCCCTGCTTGGGGATAAAAAACAGCTTCTAAGACACAGCTGAAAGGAAGCAGCAATGAGAAAAGCAGGCAAAGCATGGGGAAGATCGCTTCACTCGGCTAGCGCCTAGTTAGGGCTGAAAAAAGACTTCCAAAGAACAGCTGAGAGTCAAAGCAAAGCATGGAGATCGCTTCACTCGCTAGCGCCTCATTAAAACACAGCAGAGATTTGAGGGAGCAGGCAAAGCTGGGAACATCACTTCACTCGCTAGCGCCTCACTAGTGCCTCGTTAGGGCTGAAAAAAAGCTTCAGAAAAGCTACATCGGAGTATAAGATACACCCAAATTTTCAGCCTCTTTTAGGGGGGATACAGTGTGTCTTATACTCCGAAAAATACGGTACTGGTGAAGATGTTGGACCAGAACTGAGGAAATCTAGATTCAAGTCCACCTTTTCAAGGAAAATTACTTGATGGCTTTGAATCCAATTTCTCTCTCTTGACACTTCCCTTGATACTTGTGGAAATAATCCCCATCAAACTCCTGAGACAAAAAGCAGGATATAGAGCTAATAAATAAACAAATTCCAATTCCAAGCTGCTGAAAAAAATAGACACTGTAGAAACTGCATCTTTTCTTACCATTATGTGTTTCATTAACATGTTTGATATCTTTATTTTTTTTCTTTTCTTTTTACTGCCTTAACTCGTGTATTTTTAATGAGGAGAACTGACCCTGAGAAGATACTACAACTTTGACATGGAGAAATAAAAGTATATTTTTTATATTTAAAAAGTCCCTAAACTTAGAGAACAAATTTAATTTGTAATAATAAATTCCCCAATTCAACATTTTCAAGAAGCCAGATATAAACATCTGACAGAACAGAAGTAAAATGAAATTTAGTCAGCTTTAAAGCTTGGAAAAGAAGCTTGATCATCTATCATGCTATTATTCTGTAATTATCTGGGATTCCTCGTAAACATTTCATAAACAGATGTTTTATACATGATTGGCTAGAAATTCAACTGTCTGCAAATATTCACATATTTGAGTAATACGACATTTGGATAAGATGGCTATGGATATTCCTGACAGCAGCTGTTGTAATTCCTGAGGCTGAAAAAAAATATCATGTGACTAAAGCTGGACATCAGATTTCTGTTTCAGTTAGATTTGGGGGTTAACATATAAATTAGGTTATTATTTTCTGAAAAAATCCTGTGACTTCCCTGAATGGCATTTTATATCTACAAATATGTTCAGCGTTTTTAGGGTAAAATAAGAAATGCCTCTTTTAAGAGGTTTTCCATGTAGAAGCAGGTTAAGAAAGCATGTAGTTTAGAACTCCTTTTCAGTTTCTCCATTAATTGTATAATCCAGAATATGTCTAAAAATAATTTTCTTTCAATACTAGGAAATAAATTTGTCCTCCATCTTTTATATGCTGATGATGCAATTTTTCTTTTTACAAATTTAAGGTGTAATGTCCAAGTGCTTAATATCAAGGGATATTAAAGAAAACCTGGCCATCTAAACAAAAAGAGTTTGTTTAATAAAAAGGCATGCAAATTATCGTAAGTGAGTGATTAAAAGTATCAGTAAAGACTTCAAATATCTAAAAGTTACTTTTCATTTATAATTGTAAGAAACAAATTAAAGATATCTTGGGCTGGCAGTAATCGGGGCATAGAGCCATGATACCAAACCTATGGCACACGTGCGCAAGGTGGCACACAGAGCCATCCTTCCAGGCACACAAGCTGTTGCTCAATTTACCTGCAGCTACCCATGCACATGCGCCCCAGCTGGTGTTCGGGCCTCCAGTGTGCATGCATACAATTCAGGGGACCCAGCTGATCTTTGGAGCTCACTGCATGCATGCGCATTTGTACATGTGCGCAAGACTACTTGTGTGCAGCATGTGCATATGTAGACAGCATTCTTGCATGTGCATTGCATGCTCAAAAAACATGTGGATGTGCAGATGGTGAAATTGTGCATGCAGCACACGGAGAGGAGCTGCGTGTTAGTGCGGATAGCACGCACACATGCGAATTGCACGAAGCACGTACCTGCACTCGGTGAGTAAAAGGTTCGCCACCACTGGCATACAGACTCCATGTCTGTTGCCCTATCAATATCTTGCTATATCCATTTAGTCATTACATAGTTCAAAAGAATATAGGCATTCAAAAATAATAAACAGTTTGTGAATAAATATATATTAATAGACAATACAGCAACTCTATTACATTTTGAATCCAAAACAGTTCAATTAAAGTAAATTGTTTTGAATCCAACTAAAGGCGTTACTCATTACAGAAAGATACAGACAGTACCTATGCACTAAGTAAAGATGACCACAAGTACTAATAGTAATCAAAAGGCATGCATAATGTATAATTCAAAATTTGGAAAATACCAAACTCCCATCTTTAATTGATAGTTGCATCTTTTTCAAAGGTATCTTCAGAATTGAAGCACCTCATAGAAATGTATAGAACAGCATACTGAGTTTTTGAAAATGTTTTCCAGATAAAGATCCATGCAAAAAAGAAAATATTGAGAATTCTGTTCACTTTTAGTGTTGATCCTAGCTTAAAAGTTGAATCTGCCAAAGGACAGAGAAGCTTCTTTATATATCTTACTTGTATTTAGTGTTACAGTTTGAGAAATGTTGTTTGGAGTAAGAATATCTAAATAATTGATACATTCAGTATCTATATAAAAATGTTAATCACTTAATGTGTGACTAAACAAAATTTTATCTTCAGAAATGATTACCAGTATACATTGGTTAATAGAATATCCTGCAATTTCAGCAAAGGCATTAATCAAATTCAGAAAAGCTAGAATTAAATTACTGTACAAGACTCAGAGATAAACAATAAAAGATCATCAGCAGAAAATATCGATTGATATTCTAATTAATTATGCAAAAAGCACAGAAAGCATAATTTTGTCTAATAATACAAGCTAGTAGTTCTAAACAAAGATCCAAAGGAATAGTGGAGATCTCTGTCTAGTAATTTTAGAGGATTTAAAAGTTTTAAAAATGCCATTTATCATCACTCTATTGAAGGTCTCATTTTATAATCTTTCTATAAGCAATTCACATGGAGCTAAGATGCACAAGAACCAATTTAATGTAGTGATTAAGGCACCAGCTAGAAACCAGGAGACTGTGAGTTCTAGTCCTGCCTTAGGCACAAAGTCACTTTCAGCAATAGGAAGAAAACCTTGCCAAGAAAACTGCAGGGATTTGTCCAGGCAGACCCCAGGAGTCAACACTGACTTGAAGGCACACACAGACACAGACACAGAAGACACACAGAGACACATACCCTCTCTCTCTCTCTCTCTCTCTCTCTCTCTCTCTCTCTCTCTCTCTCTCTCTCACACACACACACACACACACACACACACACACAAAGCATGTACTACAAAATTGAAATTTTGTTTTTCTTTTTGTTTAAATCAACCAAATTTTCCACCACCTGAATATTATCTGAAATGTGTCTAGTTTTGATAAAGCCCCCTTGATTATTTGGAATATATTATTTCTTGAAGTTTAGATTAATTAATAAATCAATACATAGCATAAGATCTTCAGCAGGTTGTGGTGTAATGGTAACGAATCCTGCATTAAATGAAGACAATTACCTTCCATTCTCAAAGATACCATTAAATGAAAATATGTTATATTAATGGGCCTATCAATTAAAAGTCCTAGACCAGTGCATTCTCAGAAACTTTTAAGATTCCTCATCTACTAGCTGGGGAATTCTGGAAATTGGAGTACACACATAAAGTTGCTCAGATCGAGAAACGCTATTTTAGAGGACTTGCCAATTTTTGCTTTGTTGCTTTCCATTGCTATGTTTTCTATTGCTTATAGCTGTTGCTGTAAGACAGGGGTGTCAAACTCACAGTCCACAGACCAGATGCATCATATGCTGGCCCTGGCCCCACCCGGTTTAGCAAAGGGGGGAAAAGTTCCCATATGTCACATGACGATGTCGTGACGATGCGAGCTTAATACCCCTGCTGTAAGAGGACTGAGGTTTTAACTCTAATCCATTAACAAATAAATATACTTATGAATTGTTTAGTCTTGGAATAATTTTCAATAGCCTGCTAAACTGATTAATTAATATTTAATTTTATTTTGCTTTGTTATTTCTTATGCTTGTTGAAAGAATTGGACTATTGGTTCAAGTGATAATCATTGAAGTAATAATATGGCTGAGCTTTGTAAATCAGTTGCTTTTGCATGATAGTGCACCCATGCAATCTTCTTTATGGAATTCATTGATGATGGTATTAGTAATAGCTGTAATGGTGGTGCTCCAGGCAGCAACTGTCTCTCCCTCCTTAAGCTATTCATAAATCCAAAACAGAAAGTCCAGTTGCCTCTTGAAAAAAAGCACTTTTGGGACATGCCAACATTTAAGGATTCCAACAAATTAAAACTCATTGTAGGACTGGAAACTACAGTAAGTTCTACAAGAAGAGATTGGGAATCTGAGAGTTTCAACATCAAGAAAATATCAAGCTCAAGATAGGGATTTAATATAATAAGTACTTAAAGAAGGTCATAACTTTATTTCCATCATCCCAAAGTGCACAAATGGGGAAATATTTAAAATTAAAAGGGAGCTGATTAATGTTGAATGTATCCTGGCAGTATTCCTAGAGCACTTCAGCAGTGGAAACATTTAATTTGTGTGTTGATGCACTTCACATCAAACACAAAGATTTTTAACATTATGCAAAACAGTTTTCATTGCCAAAACATTGAAACATTGATCATGCAACTTCCTCTGTTTCTCTCAGGAATCTCCATATGTGATGCAAAAGAAGAGCAGTGAGCCATTAGAAGGAAATTTGAGATATGAGGGATATTGTGTAGAATTAGCTGCTGAAATTGCAAAACACGTTGGCTACAACTACAGCTTGCAGATTGTTGCTGATGGAAAATACGGCGCTCGAGATTCTGAAAGTAAAATGTGGAATGGCATGGTTGGAGAGCTAGTCTATGGAGTAAGTTTCTAGTTCTGAATCAGTTATTATATAATATTATTATTGTATTATAAAAGCTGATGATGCCAGAGCATCTTCAAAGGTATTGTTACTATAATTCAACACTGGTAGCCCATTTACATGTAATTGCTGCTGTTACTTGTGATTATTCTTTAAATAAGAGCAAGAAAAATATGAAAAACTGCTTTAAACATTGTGAATGATACCATATAGTTGATAGCAAGTCATTTGATTTCAGCAATTTACAGTTAACTGTATATCTCCATCTTAAAATAAATGGGAAGGTATCACTCTACTGAGACCTTTCTAATCTCCGTATATATTTAATATATATTTAAGAGGGCAGGAATAAATATTAAGGAATTGAAATATCATAGATCCTGTACTGGGACCGGGACCAAAACTAAAGGATCATATCAACAGCTTTAATAAGACACAATAAATGACAATTATTTACACAAAAGGAAATAGTGAAGCCACACTTGGATGATTCTTGTTTTGCATTTATAAAGTAATATAAATCCAAGCATGTCTGTAAGGCAGTGAATACAGGGAAGAATACACGATAAATCAAACTGAGATATCAAAAAATTGTAAATTGTATTTTCAAGATTTTCAAATGGTTTCTATACATAAAAGCCAAACTTCTTAGCAACCCCCCCCCCAGTAATATTCTAGTATCTTAAGTATATATAATGCTGTGCTTCTTCCCCAACCCATGCCTTGCTATCAAAAACTTCATGTATTCTTAATATAGTATTTTGCAGATCTTCAGAATGTTCTAACACCGACCTTCCTTTCTTTTCAGAGAGCTGATGTGGCTGTTGCACCATTAACTATAACTCTAGTGCGAGAAGAAGTTATAGACTTTTCCAAACCTTTTATGAGCCTGGGCATATCTATCATGATTAAAAAGCCTCAAAAATCCAAACCCGGGGTATTTTCCTTCCTGGATCCTTTAGCTTATGAGATCTGGATGTGCATAGTTTTTGCCTATATTGGTGTCAGCGTTGTCCTCTTTCTGGTTAGCCGCTTCAGCCCATATGAATGGCACAATGAGGAGGTTGAGGAAGGCCGTGATCAACCAGCTAATGACCAGACCAATGAATTTGGGATATTTAATAGCCTGTGGTTCTCCTTGGGAGCTTTTATGCAACAAGGATGTGATATATCTCCAAGGTTAGTAATTTCTATTAAATATGCACTCTTTGGTGATGAGATTGCCTCTTCAGATGCTGGGAAATAGTCTTCTTCTATCATGTTTTTCAACTTTAGCATAACATCTGTAGTTAACCTGTCTGATTAGAGTGGTTGAAGCAAGATATAATTGGCCTGATTAAGTTAAACATTTGTTGAAAATAATAGCATTATCAAAAAGTTTCTTTTATCATTTCAAACTTTCTTAATTTCCCCACTGTTGCTGTAATACTTTCTGTTATATGCAAATCAATCCCTTTCAGAGTTTGCTTCCTGTTTTTTGTATTTTTAAAATATTCAAGACAATATATAGAAGGGGATAACAGACACCTGTTACCAATCTCTGGAATCCTGCTTTCATATGCACCCACAACAACTTAGACCACATCAATATTACATCCTGACATATATTTCAGCTTTTGTTTTCATAATTAAACCCTTATATGTTGATTTTCCGGCTTGTATTAATGAGCTCCACCTTCATTCAAATGTTACATCCTTCTCCTTTTTCTTACTTTCACAGGCATACAGCATGGATAGTTTTCTTTCCGTCATTATAATCATTAATTAAATATTATTTATCACATTTTAATTACAGCTAAGATCTCAGATAGTCTTTGACATATCTGCTCCTGACTATAACATCAGAGCCATTGGAGTATCTAAAAACCTGAAGTACAAATTTCAGGCATGGCACATCTATGTCTTTGCCAAATCAGGTCTTTGAAATGCAAGCCAGATCTGAAATTTATTTATTTATTTACTTACTTATTTATTACATTTAGGAACCATCCATCTCTCTCACAGAGCTACTCTGAGTGGTGTGCAAATAGACGTAATGAATGTTTATCCACTATTATGTCATAGAAAATGCAGCCCTATTACATGTGAATCTGGCATTAACCAACAGCAAACTGAGGCTATGGCACTCAACAAGCTTATCATCCAGAAATGAGGTCTGAAGTGGAGAATTATATCGATCTACAGATTTTTCTTTTCCTACAATGTGAAGCCCACGGCCTCCTTTCATTCTCCCCCTGGCCTGTGTCACCATGGAGATACATATTCCCATGCCATATTCATCTTCCACGATTCCCACACCCAACTTCTATATTCTACTTGAAGCAAAAGGGAACAAAGAAAAAGAATAATAATAATGAACTGCTTCCTATGTTGTAGCAGTTTACTAACTCTATCGCTCATCTCAATAAAGTAATAATCATCTACACACACCTACTAATTCATTCTGTACCCATTCAGACAAACTAGCCCATGATTAAGGCACCAGGCTAGAAACCAAGAGACTGTGAGTTCTACTTCCACCTTAGCCATAAAAACAAGCTGGCTAACTTTTATTTGCTGTTAAATTAGTAATTAGTTGTTAAGGGAATCAGGCTTCCCTATTAACGTTGCTTGTCAGAATGTTGCAAAAGTTGATCACATTATCATATAACTCCAGGACCCTGCAACCCTCATAAATATGAGTCAGTTGCCAAGATCTGAATTTTGTTCATGTGACCGTGGGGATGCTACAAGGGTCGTAAGTGTGAAAAATGGTTATAAGTCACTTTTTTCAGTGCTGCTGTAACTTTGAACAGTCATTCAATGAATGGTTGTAAGGTGAAGATTACCTGCATACTGCATATATATGTATATACATATGAGTATATAGTAGATATTCAACTCAAGGCAGCAAACATATATGGTACTCCTGCCTCTTATCTTCCCCACAATAACAACACTGTGAAGTGTGTGGACTGAGAGAAGTCACCCAGTCAGTTTTTAAAAGCTGATTTCCATTATTCGTATAGAACCATGATAAATGGAAAACACTGAAGATCCTAAATTAGAAATAAATCTTCTGAACACAAAAGAGCTTACCTTTGAGTAAATATATGCAATCAACCACTTTATTTATTTTGATTTTTAAACTGCTCCATTTTTAAGATCATCTTAATAACAATCATATTAAACTTTAGTTCACTTTAAAATTTTAATTAATGTAAATGTAATTGATTAACTGACAAACGCATTAATTGATTAATACAAAAGAACAAATTGTAATTATAAATGGCTGAGTTTTGACAATCCTTTGTTTTACCTCATTCTGCTTTGTTATTATATTGTTATTGTAATAAAGAATCTAAAATAACTTATAAAAGAGGGCCTTCCTATTTAAATAGTTAATTTATTCCATAAAACTGAGAATACTTACCTACTCCAATAGGCTTTGCGCGACGTGCACCTATATCTACCGGTAACACTTTTTTTTTTCATTTCTCCCAAGAGTTTATTGAGTTTTTTCTATTATACAAGTTTAATTACATTGATTTATTAATTAACTAATCATCTGAGGGTCAGTTTGAGGTTTTGTATCTGCACATTTAATTACATTTATTCACGTAATGAATTTAACTACATTTATTCACTTAGACGCCATTAATTCATTAATTGATCTTTAATCAGTGTTTCCAATTCAAAATATGATAAAGATAATGAAAAATAAACCAACGGGTTTGACTTCATATGTTTCGATGATCCTCACACTTCATTTTAGCCGAGCCGCAGCTGTAAGAATGCAGCTGAAATAAATTGACCTATCTGCAAACGTTTCTGGTGTGCTGAAAGCTGGATACAAACCTCATTCAAAGTGCCTTAGCCATGTCAAATGCTAAGCTAATGTTTTTAGAAGACTTAATTTAAAAGACTTAATGCTAAGCTTCGGTCTAATACTAATAAATTTTAAAACACAAAAGAGAAAAGTACATGCGTTTTGCTTCTTGAGGCAATCCCAATCACCACATATTTTTTCAGGTTTTCATCATTCATTCATTCTTTCATTATTCATCCATTCACCCCATTTATATAGCTTTCACTTTCACTTCTATTTATTCATCACATTGCTTTCAGTTTTTCAAAGATGTTGAAGGGGAGATTGGAAAATGGGATGGATTGAATGAATGAAAGTTATTTGATATTATCACAGATAAGGTTGTATCAGGAATTCACCAATCACTGACTGACTGGAGGAACAGAAACTATTTCTTCAATAATGGCTTACTCTAATCAGTTTTATACTCTCAATTTGCCTCATTTAAGCAAAGAATTTTGAAGAATTGGGTAAAATCAGTTGTTAATTGTGGGTTGTTTTATATATTATTATCATTAACCATCATTCTTCAAATCAATCTTTACTCTAAATTCCCAATTCTTGAATTATTTTCAACCCATCTCAAGACTTAACACCTTAAATTAATTCTTCAGGGTTTTTTTTTACTAATATACCTACCTGACACTAATTAGTTTTTATAATAATATGCCTCAAAATTTTGTGCACACCACTGCTAAAAAGCCCCCAGTTATTTCTAACTCTAGTATTATATGAATGTGTATTTCATCTGGTTGACATATAAAGTAACCAAATGCAAAGGATTTGTGTCATTTCTTTCTCTCAGAAATGGGGAAGATTATACTTATCCTTTACGTCATGCATCATTTTATGTATATAGTCAAAGAGAGATGTACCACTCAAAAACCGTATGAAAGTATTCCATAGCTAGATAAGGACATGAACATCTTTGTCAACCCTTTGAAATGATGTGACAGAATGATATATTTTATACTGAAGGCTTTTCTTGACTGTCTGGAACATTGAATAGCTTGCTTTCTTCTCAAGATTCTACAAATTTCAATCATAGTAGTAGAGCTAGCAGTACCAACTGATCATGATTATTGATGCATATGTAAATATAGTTAATTGTTTCTGTCATCTTGTGTATATGTATATAAAATACATTTCCTTCTCTTTCCTCTGAATCCTGCTTATGTGCTACTATAGAATGAAGATAGGCTTAGCAAAATCTTATTATTTTTCAATATGAAGATTCTGCTCTAACTTTTGTTCTGACTTTTCTTGCTATTATTCTGCTATACCAAGCAGTTTCAGTCCTTATTATTGTTGGATTATTATTATTATTAGATTAGCAGCCAAGATAAAAGCACGTAATTCTGGAAAAATCTCAGATAAGGAAAGATATTGTCAGAATAGGCAACACCATATGTGCTGCTTTACTCAGATTTCTGATGGGATGAATACAGGAGTTTCATAGCATCTATAGATAGATATAGAGATACATACAGCAGCCACTTACATTTTAGACATTTGGTAGGCCTTAAGCAGAGTGTCTAATGGAGAGTCGCAATTCTAGAAATGAATGGATCTTTAACAAAATTCTGGGAAATCCTCATACCATCATTGCCTCCCCTCTTCTTTTTCCCACACCTTCTGTCGTTTTTCCTCTTTCGTAGCTAAAAGTGAAATAAATTAAAAATGGATCTTATTGCTGCTTCCTTAGGCCACTTCATATGGCTTTCTTTTCTTTTATTTTTTTCTCCCTAAATCCCATTTTGCTTGTCTTCAACTTCAACTGTCTTCAACTTTCTTATTGATGGGTGGTGGTGGTAAGGAACAGAAATGGAGTGCCGTTTGTTTGTTTGTTTGTTTGTTTGTTTGTTTGTTTGTTTGTCATGTGCTATCCATATAGCCTACAGATGACTCTGGGCAGCTTGCAAACATTAAAAGCCAGTAAACATTAAAACAATAAGTAACAATAATAATAGCAATAATTTAATGAAATAATGAAAATGGGAGATGTGAGGTGAAGTCTTCTCTTAATCTGATAGCCACCTCCAAAATGATGCATCCCCATTAAGACTCCAGACCAATTGGCAGAACCAGGTCTTCAGGCTCTTACAGAAGGTCAGAAGGAATGATACAGATCTCACCTCAGGGGGTACGATGTTCCAAAGGGCAGGAGCCACAGCAGAAAGGCTCTTCTCCTGGACCCCACAAGCCTATATTTCTTGATTGATGGGGTCCATGGCATGGCTCTTCTATCACAGGTGGGGTAGGCTAATCTTATTTAATTCCCTCGAATTCCAGTTCTTCTAACTTCACATTGGGAAATAAAGCTGCCTAACAT